CACTATAAATTAAATACTTTCGACGTGTATAAAAACAAAAACAAGTTGTATCACAACAGAAATTAAAATAATTAACGCAAATAAAGAACGTAAAAACGATGGCACTTGAAGCAACACGTTATTTATTTAAAGATATTTTTATTCGACGATGGTATATATTAGTTTTTTGGGCATACGCTGGATTTGCTCAACGACATGAAAATCTTCGACAAGATTATTTTAGAAATAAAAGCCAGTTATTAGGAGGCATGAAGACGCCAAATTGGTAAAAGAAAGAAAAACATATGACTTTTGGACTCTCCTATTATCCATTACCGTTCCTATGTAGAAATTACTAGATTATTTAGTGTATCTTTTTTTTTACTGAGACTAACTCTTTATTTTCTCTGTAATTTTTTTCACCTTTTGTTTTCTTTTTATATAAAATGACGAGAAAAATGTGAATAGACATAATTGAGAATAAGTTGATGCGGGTAGATATTAGAAACAGATTCGTAACAGAGAGGGACTAGCATTTCGTCTCTGATGAAAGCTGTTCACAGGAAATTACATGAGGCTTTTTAGAGAATTGTCGACTAAGTCACATATAACATAACACTAGACACGTAACTAACTGTTATTCTCATAGTACATTGAGCGTAGTACATCCTATCATAAATTCTAATTCTTAGAAACGTTCTGCCCTCCGAGGTAGTTGGTTTATGATTCTTTAAACATTGAAATGTTGAAAACCTTGCTACATAAAAAGTTGATTTTATAAAATGTGAACTGTCACTTCTAGATGAATTGTGGATTTAAAAAGATCTTACCCTGTTTATTTATTATCACAAATGTCTATTTATTTTTAACTGAGACATGAGACGTTGTCTAATGTAGAGAATGACTGAACATATGCAGAAGAAGAAGGTAGTTACAAAAATAAAAATGATGATGACAAGAGTTATTCTCTCTTCGAATATTTCATGCAGATACTGTTCGTCTTAAACAGAATTATGTATGGATCTTTTTTAGTCGGTAGAGAAGTGGAGATTTACAAATCTGTTTTTGATTGTTGTTGTCTATTCGGTATTAGTATAGTTCTTGTTGACTGATAAATTTAAATCATAACTGTCAGTGTTGTTATCAAAACTATGACCACAGTTTCACCATTTGGAATTACATATGTTCTTTCTTAAGTATAATTTCATCTTGATTATTTAAATTCTTGTATTTGGACTGTCGTCAAGTTCTTGCTAATTAATTAGAATAATATCTTTATATCCATTGAAACTAATTTAGATCTAAACCAATTTAAATCAGTTTACATGGGAATTAGTTTACATTAATTTTCGGTTAAAAATTAATGTAAACTAATTTGAAACTAAATTAGTTCAAATAGTTGGTGAAGATTTGAATATTTTTTTTCAAAAAAGAAAAAATTCAAAGTCCCCATAGCATATCTGATATAGTTAGAGGCTAAGTTTCCCGAAGCAACTTTTTGCGAGGAATCCAATGGTACTCTCAGAAATTCTTGAAAATATTTCTGAACCGAAATAAGTACCTATTTTGGTTTCGAAAAACTTGAAATTAATTTGCATTAATTTGGGTACAAAAACTGGTTCAGATTAATCTTTAATTTGAAATTAATTTCAGCAAATGTTTTCTAAATCAATTTGAATGAATTAGTTATTAGAAATTAATTTAAATTAATTTACAAACAGAAATTAATAGACATTAATTCTTTTTACAGCATTGCAAAGAAATTTGTGTCTATAAATTAAATTATACTAATTTTTAATACCAAATTGATGTACATTATTTTTCGTTAAATCGGTTGGCACGAATTTTTGATTGAAAATTGGTTTAAATTAATTTCGATCAACAAATCCATTTAGACTGGTTTAAAGAAAAATAATGTACATTAATTTGATACTGGAAATCAATGTAAATTAATTTATAGACTCAAATTTCTTTGCACTGCTGTAAAAAAAATTAATGTCTATTAATTTCTGTTTGTAAATTAATTTAAATTAATTTCTAATAACTAATTCATTCAAATTGATTTAGAAAACATTTGCTGAAATTAATTTCAAATCAAAGATTAATCTGAACCAATTTTTGTACCCAAATTAATGCAAATTAATTTCAAGTTTTTCGAAACCAAAATAGATACTTATTTCAGTTCAGAAATATTTTCAAGAATTTCTGAGAGTACCATTGGATTCCTCGCAAAAAGTTGCTTCGGGAAACTTAGCCTCTAACTATATCAGATATACTATGGAGACTTTGGGTTTTTCGACTGAAAATGCCGTCCTATGCCTATGGTGAAGTATTATTGTATTTCTTTCCTTCTTCGTTTTTCATTTCGTAAACTTGTTTCACATTTTTCTCCAGATCTCTTTTTATGACTATAGCGTTTCATACTTCCAAGATATCTCGGTCATTTTTCAAGCTAGAAATTTCGGATTGGTTTCAAAACATTGCTTTTTCAAAATAAATGCTTTTTTTAAATAAAATCTCTCTAACTTGTCAGAAACTTTTTAAATTCCTCCTAAACTCAACTTGAATTGAATAATCCAACGACGTCACGACATAGAAAAAAACATTTCTCTATTTTTTGGAACCAATTGGAAATTTCTAGCTTAAAAAATGGCGGCGGAATCTTGGAAGTACGAAACCATACTTTTACACAACTAATTTAAGAATAACTCTGGGGAAATAACTGGTAAGGAGGTGCAATTAGTAGAATGACTAAGTACCTCAAGGTACACATTGTCTAAAATTTTCATCGAAGTTGAATGTTCCTGGACGAAAGGAGGTTTCTGAGTGGGGAGGACTTAACGTAGCGCGTTTCGTACTGAGAGAAGAAAACTAGCATAAAAAACTCTTATCGACCAACATAATCGTAATGGACTCACGTTTTTTCCGTTTCTGACTGTAATTTCTCAGTCAGTTTAAACGAAGAAATGCTTAAATTCTTACCAAATTTGTCTAATAACTTGCTCGACAGTCTCTAAAATTTCTGTTAAGTTTGACTATATGGCTCAAATTTTATAAGAAAAAGATCGACTGTCACGGAACCACCAAAAATGGAATAGCCACTCCGAAACAATTTAAAGTTGTCGAAAACTCAGCTAATCTCTATTCTTTATGTGAAAATGTTGTAGAAAAGTTCATAGGTCATCGACTGAAAAAAATTATTTTTACAGGTCTGAAATTAACGCTTAAATTGGTAAAATATCATTGTTACGGAATCACGCATTTTACAAATAACTATGTTTTCGCAGTTCGAGTTTTTTCCTCCAAGAATGAGCGAGAGTTGAACTAAAATGACATTGTTGATCTCAAAACATTTCTCTATCTAACTATTTGCTCAAAACCCAAAAACTATTGCAAGAGATAGGAGAAAAAGCCAAACGAAAAGAGCTTCTTATCAAAATTTGGACATAAAAGGTGACCGTTATGTGGAATGGCCCTCATCCATTTTAAACAGCCTGAACTTCCAGTAGAAGGATGTGCAGGTCGGGAGGCGACTCACCTCAGGCGAGCGAGGGTTCTAGAGATGAGAACATATTTGCATTTCTTGTCTGGTCAAGAGAAGTGACACATGAAATACAGTTTTTTGTTTAACCTTTGAAGAAGAATTCGCATCTACACTAAGTTCGACTCTCAATATTAATTAAAACTAATTTATATTATCAAAATTATTACAAATCTATTACAAAAACATTTATTTAAATGAATTTTGAGCCATCGAAGCTAGTTTCCATCAATTTGACGGATTAAAACGATCTCAAACTCATTCAAAATAAATTACTCTAAATAAATTTGAGAGTAGAAATTAATTTGAAGCAATTTAAAGCACGAAATTAATTCGAATTCATTCGAAATAAATTAATTCAAACCAGTTTAGTTAAAACTAATTTAAATTAATGTCTTTTCAAACTAATTGGAACTAATTTTAACCTAGAAATTAATTCCAATTCATTTTCTCTGCGAAACTGATGTAAACTAATTTCCTACAAACGAATTTAAATTAATTTGGCCTCTTAAATTGATGTGAAGTAATTTTCCATCGTTTTTTGAGTCAGAAATTAGTGTACATTAATTTAAAGTTATTTCAAAGTTCCAATGGGTAGGTAAACAAATAATTTAAAAAAATAATAATGTCCATTCGTTGAATTTTTAAATTTTGCGAAAGGATTTCAATAGATTTGTTAGTGTTGCTCTTCTGTGGATGAGAAGTCAGCCAGTTGTATGTGATATTAATTTGTTGTTCTTGTCGGAGACGACATTAAAAGTGATAGTGAATAAATGCGGATGAATCAAGACTAAACTGTAAACAAAATGTTCCGATATGGTGTAATATGTAATTTGTCGTCATATGATTGAAATGAGATGTTGAAAGGGACGATATTAACGCACGAGGGTATTACTTATGAAAAAGATGAAGATGAGGTAAATTTTCCTTAACTCTCTAGAAAAGCTTTCAAAAACTTGATATACTCAATTTTTCTCTGTACTCGCATTACATCATTACATGACTTTTTTCATTGGGGGTGCTGACAAAAACGTTTTTCGCAGCGAAGAACGCCAAAGTTTAATGAGGATTTTTCATAATTCTTTTATATCATACTATGTTTTGATGATTATCGAAGGATAAAGCGAGCAAAGACGAGTGTCATTTAACATATTGGAATTGCGATTGAAAATGTAGGGGCTCAATAACACGTCAACAAACGATAAAAATTTTATAGGCTCATGTTGATCAACCACTAGGAGAAGATGTTGAATTAATAATTTGCATAATAATATCACCTTCATCAATTATTACTCACTAACAAGTAATTAAACAAGAGTGTTAGATAAGGTTTCGAAGCAGTATTTTACTCTCGTACTTTTTTCATAGAGTACACCAACGTAGAAATGTATATTCTATCGGCACGGTTATTTCTGTAAACAAACTAAAATCTTCAATTAGATAATCAAACAGGATATTCACAAAATTCCAACAATACCACTTAACAGCCCCAAGGAAAGCAGAACGGGATCCAGAATGGCCATATTATCATTCCAGTAAGTGCACCAATCGTAAAATCATCGTTAAAGCGTCTGCTTCCTCCTCTTGGATCTTGTATAATAACTGTATTTTGATGTCCGCTCGTGTCCGAAAAGAAAATGTAAGATGGAACATGTTCATCATGAAAATAAATTATTTGTTTTGCTGAATTTATTTGTAAATTTGGTATATTTGTATAAAGTAAATTTGTTGCATGGTTTGATTTCACACTCTCAAACATTGTTTTCCATGCAATCAGGTCATCATCACTCTCAGCTGACATTAACCATTGTTTGGATGTTGTGGCTAGTTTAAATATCGGATTCTGATTTAGTTTTTGAACATCTTTTGGAAGCTGAATAATTGTCTGTAATTGTTCACTAGTAAGAATAGTCAGCGATGGATCAGTTAAATATATTAGATCGTCGGCGACTGTTGATGATATATCGGGGAAAAAACGTAATGCACCATCCCGACTCAATACTGTCCAACCTCGTTTCCATTTGAGACCTTTTTGAGGATGTGAACTTCTGTACAGCCATCCAGACTTAAAAATATCAGGACGTTCGACAGACATATTAACACTAAAAGAAATAAGAGTTTAGAAAAACTTTAAAAACAAATTATGAAATATTTAATGTAAATCGTAAAAATTTAATCGAAGAAAGAGAGAACCAACGCTTAAGCAAGCTTCGCGCCATTGTAATACAGTACTAACGAAGATCTGTTGAAATCTTATGTAATACGATCTTGTAGAATCATAGAAAAATCATAATACAAGATTGCTTGACATGGACGCATCGGCCTTGATTGAATTTTTATCCAACTTAGTGCAATAGTTGTGATCAAAGTATGTAACAATACTTACATTAACTAAGTAGTTACTACTATCAGCATTTACCAGTCATAAATCTGGCAATACATTTTTCAATTTTTTAACTGGAAAAGAGAATGAGCGAATGCTTTGAGGAAAACGGATCTTGTGAACTAGACTTTAATCAACTAAAAAAGCTTGTTAAGTAGTTGGACACGTGTAAGCAATAGTACATTCGAAAAATGATTCAAGAGTTCTTATATTTTCTTTTGTTATTGGAAATACTTGAGGCAAGTACTTCGCATGTGTAATGAAGTCGGCACTTGCTTTTTTCCCAAGTACTTACCAAGTAATCAAGTACGTTCACTTGGGAACAAACACGTTGATTTTTTTTAAAAGTATGTGAAAACGTATTGAAGTACTCAGGTCAAAAACAACTGACATTTAATAGGACACAAATAGTCTGTTAACGAAATGGCTAACAACAGGGTTTCAACAACTTTTGATTGCGAAAAAATGATCAGTTAACATGCACCATTCATTATTCTTCATCTGGCCTTTAATGATGGCCTAAAAACAAGCAATTAATTGTGTAAGGCTTAGATTTAGATAAATGGCATTTTATTGTCCATTTTTTATGACCGTTACATAAACAGACAAAAAACGGACGCTTAATTCATCCTTTTGTTTCGCTGATCTCACTACTACACAAATCACATTGTTTCCCCATAGAAAACGTAGAGTTTTGTTCTTTCTCGATCATATAAGTCATCGAAACTTGTGTTGAGGAAGCAGCTACTGGTTCTAGGGATGGTACCAGAGATAGCACCGATCATACCCAGGGAATCGAAAATATTCAAAAATTTGAAAAGCTATTTATGGTAGTGGTCAGAAAAAAATTAGTCATCAACAATCGGATCCCTGGCCAAATAATTACACAAAAGTGGCCATTAAACGGTTCGTAGACGGCGAAACGAACTGGGTCTAGGGTAGATTCAGAATTTTTTATATCGAAAATAACACACACTTTTTATTAGCAAGGCTACGGTAGGCTCAACCTCTTCAAGCCTATCCTAGCCTACTTGCCTGTTTCTTGGCCGTTAAAAAAATGTCACTTTTAGGCATTAATATGTTCCCAGTTATAATGCCGAGAAATGGTCAAAAATGGTGTTAACTAGCTAAAAATTGTAATTTAAGGCACACTTTGTGGGCTGTTAATAGACAATTAATAGAAAATAAATTACACTGTTTTCAACGTTCTGGACATTTGATCGATTTAGAAATCCGTGTTTAAAAACAACTTAAGTTTTTTTATCTCAGAACGCGCAGCTTTAAACGCAAACAAAACTTCAACAGTTTTGGACGCGTTTTTAGAGAAAAGCGTATGAATCACGGTGCAAATCATATTATAAAAAGCCCGACATCTATATCCCACTAAAGCGTTAAGCACAAAGCATAGAGAGGCATTGTTGTAGTAACTAATCAGTAAAATGGTGAAATAGCATAATAACTTGTTTAAAATTTTTTTCGAGCATCCCTTTCTCTTCTAAAATATAGACTTTAACCTCAAACAGATTCATTTCTGAGCTTTTAGTATTGGATTTGTGTCGATTGTTGAAACGTCGCATTGTTTGTGTTCATCAAATGCCAGTTTTACTGTTATAGATTGTTCCGTAGCCAATACGGCATCTAAGGATCACACAGTCATTTGACAGCAACTATCCAAAAAGAATGGATGTTTTTATTGATCTGCAGAATGTGATTATCGGTGGATTAAGTACATTTCATGATGTGTTCAATGTTACATGTCGTTCAACTGAACAACCACACAACAACTGTGGTATATGCAAAGCATGTCTTGTTAATCAACAACTACATTTTTCAAAAGAATGGTGGTCAAGAAGTGGCGATTTAACAAGAAGACGTTTTTTATTGGCACTGATTAGTCGGATCCGACCCGAGTTACTTGAACATTTAGCACAAATACTTAAACCATTTGTTGAATCAAAAGGTAATAGATAATATGCATTAGAAAGTATGTCAAGATTTTTTTGATAAACATTCTTCTCAATTTGTTTAGATTTTACCTATGCTCGAAATAAATTTTTACCATCAAGCGTCCATGATCGATTTGGAACTTCCGGAGATCGTTGCTTGGATCCGTCGAAAGTTCATGAAGATTCAGTGATTATCTTAAATTGGTTTAAAAGTCAAGATAAATATACCCAATGTTCATTTTTGTTAACTATATTACAATGGTGTGAATATCATCTCATATTTGCTGCAGCAATGACAATTATATCTATACAAGAAATAGATTGTAAGTTAAAGCTCCCCTCACTCTAGAAATCTATTTTCAACACGAAATGTCCGATCTCGAAGAAATTTTCAGTATATGCTACTCATGTCAAAGTTAGATTACAGTAAAAATTTTAGCTGTATATCTCGCGTTTTCTCAGAGTTATCTATAAAACGATGGTCAAAAAGTAGTTGTCGGCACTTCCCAAATTTCTATGCCATTTTAAGTGCCAAAATTCTAGGATTGGTCTTAAAATGTACCCAAAAGTTGGCATCACAGCTTCACATAGCCAAATTTTTAATTTTTGACTTAGCTTTTGAAAAAAACCAAGAGTGTCCAAAAACTAAATATTTTTTCTGGAGTTTCTCTGAGATTTTTGGACACTCTTGGTTTTTTTCAAAAGCTAAGTCAAAAATTAAAAATTTGGGATGTACCGACACCTATTTTTGTAAAAAGACAATTTTGAGAAAAAGCAAAAGAAGTTAATACTTCTTAAAACTTAATATTTGCGACGAAAATAACAAATTGACGATAGGTAAGAGTGGTTTACTAGATTGTCGACTATGCTGAATCGAATGAGCAGTGCAAAGACATATGCGGCATATCTTTCGGCATATCACACTATTGTTATACCATAAGCAGACTTTTACACAGAAAAAAAATTTTCTGTGCGGTGCCTATAGAAAACTCTCAAAAATCCCAAGATCCATTGCTAGGACTAAAAATTGTAGTACATTCAAAAGCTAGCAGTGTGGATTATAAGCCGATGTATAAATCTCAAAATCGACTTTTCTGAGTGAACGGAGCCTTAAACAGAATAAACTACATCCAGATGTATATAACATGTCTTGTTTTTTTCCGTTTATAGCTGATGATGAAGATGATGTTGAGAATGGAACGTCAAAATCAAAACGTCTAGTATTATCAGCAAGTAGTGCACGAAATAATATTGGTACTTCTATACTTAAAAATGAACGACTTTTGCGTCCCAAAACAGCATCAGCCGCTGATTCTCGACAAAAAAGTGTCACAAATGTTTCATTTGCATCAATGAATGATAGTAGACTAGCTGATGAGGATTCTGAAACAGAAGGATTTACAAGTACAACGAATACACAATTACACGTACCAAAATACAAAGATTTTATACGGTAAGTGTTATAGTTAAGACACAATATTCAAACTTGTCGTTGTTGAAATATCAAGTTGTTGCTTTTTCTGATTTTATTTAGACAATTGCCCATCTATTTAGCTAAACAAATTTTACATTTGTTGGATAAAAAAGCATTGAATCAATGTAAGCTGGTCACACATTATTGGAAAAAATTAACTATCGAAATAGACGATGAAATATTAATGAAAAAATTATTACTTGATGATATGATGTTACTTCAGGTATTGTTAATATGTCATTTTTACTTAAACATTCGTCCAAACAGAAATATCAATATTTCAACATCATAATTTAGGAGCAAACCATTGATTCTGTTGCTCATCGTGTAAGATGATATATACGCGCATATTGAAATTAACAGCCACATAATTGTATCATTTTATGATCATTTGTTTAGTTAACAAAAAACAACGAGTTATGGCACTAAAAAAGATTGAATGCACACAGCACCTCCAAGTGTCCTATTTTTAAGCAGCACAGATTACTCTTATATCTGTCATCATGAGAGAAACGAATAACTTCTGTATTTTTCAGAGTACAGTTGCTCATCAATGTAATCCTCGATTCGCCCACGATACACTTGTTCCTGTTCCCGATTGTTATTCACAAATCAGTATACCAAAAAAAGATAGTGAAGATGCATCACAAACAAAGGGAACTAAACAAGTTGTTTGGAGCAATCTTTATACACAAGCCGGTTTGCCTATTCGACTTGTTTTAATGGAAGAACGAAATATTTATTGTGGATCATATAATGTTCTTCTTTTAAAAGACAAGTAAGCAAAATATACAAAAATCAAATGTTTTTTGTTCAGTTTTGGTAGATAGAAATGCTATTTTGTCCTTTTAGTCGTGATCATCGTCGTATTGTTAATATGAGTGGTGAATCAATGGTTGCAATAGCTTCTCGTGATAGTCGTGTTCGATTTATTGATATGAATACCGCCCAAGAACGACCACTTGTACTAGTTGGTCATGTAGCATCTATTCACTGCATCTATATGCAAGAATCAAGAAAAAGAATATTTACGGTAAAAATATTTCTAATTTTTATTCTTTTTAATATGTGACATTTATGATATTTTAGGGAAGTTATGATCTAACTGTTCGGTAAGTATCAGAGAGGTATAAGAATTGAATTTTAAACTTATTTTCTTTTATTCTGATAGTTGTTGGAGTCTTGAAACTGGTCGGTGTATCAAATTATTTCACGGTCATGAACGTACAGTGACATGTCTATCGGTCTATTTTGATTTGATTGCGGCAGGCGGAAATGACAATTGTTGTTTAGGTTGGTAAGAGAGTATGTATTCTATGTTTCAGTTATTCAAAATATATATTTTTGTGATTAAAATACCTATTGTATTTTATTAATACTAGTTTGGCGTTACAAACGACGTCGTCCATGGAGAACATTTAAACATAAACATCCGGTGACTGCTGTGGCTATTAACGATGATATGACAATATCAGGAGATGTTCATGGGAAAATAAAACTATGGCACAATTTAAGTGGAAATTTAATAAAGGTACATTCACCTATTTCTAAAAAAAAATACATAAATATCTCGATCATGCTTATCTAGATTCTCAAACATCGTTCTTGTATAACAAGTGTTAAATTTGACAAATGGCATATTGCAAGCGCATCACACGACACCTACGCCAGTTTATGGTCATCACAAGGAAATTTTAAACGACCATTATGTACATTTAGACATCCAAAGTAAGCTTTTGTTTTTTGTTAAGTACTAGGACTAATTTCTATCATTCATCTTTTGATAGAGAAGTACTATGTATGGAATTTGCTTATCTCCGATTATTAACTGGTTGTGCTGATGGAAAAATTCGTATATGGAGTGTATTGAATGCACACTGTCTTCGAGTTATGAGAGGAAACAGTTTGTCTGATCCGGTTGTTAGTCTTATCGCTACACCAAATCGGTATATCAGTTTCTACTACTTTTGTCATTAAGCAATAATAATTTTTATTAATATTTTTTAGAATATTAATAAATACCGAAAATAGTTTATTATTAATGAATTTTGAACAAATCGATTTTGATTATAATCTAAAAGAAGATTCAGCATCCGCTATGCATTTAATTCAATCAGAAAATACGAAAAAACTTGAACCTGTCCGTCCATATTCTGTTACACGAGCAAGACGCGCTGATAGTATACACGCATCGTCAAGACGTTTATTTGAAGATAATACGTCGACACAACCATCGCATAGTACAGGACTACTGAATGCGAAAGAGTTTAAGAGAGCGAAAAAAGCACAAACTCGACCACATCCAATATCATCTGCTCGTTCAATATCGACGAATAAAAGTCGTGTCCGACTTGACTCAAGAACAACAAATACTGATATCGAAGAAAAATATTCAAACAAAAAATCGACAACAAATGAGCAGAGATCATTGAGTGAACAAACTGGAAATGTTAAAATCTTGTTTGATAACGTCGATGTCGGTTTGGATTTGTCGTTAGATGAAACAAAAGAACTGCTAAAACGTCAAATGAGAATGGGTGAAGGAAAATTACCTGAAGAATTCCGCACAATGGTCGAATTTATTCGACAATCACCGTATTATAGAATACACTCCAGTCAAGATGATAATATTTACCTTGAACATAACAGTTTGAAACAAACCATCAGTAATCGACCACCATCATCACCAAGTAAGATTGATACAAAAGTCAAGTTAAAACAACATCAAACACAAAAGCGAGTCGAACAATTGAAAATCGGCTTTTACAAAGACGATGCTGAAGAAGAAAAGAGACGTCAAGAGTATTTACAACTTGAACGTGAGGAAAACGAGCGAAAAAAGGAGAAACTGCCAGTATTTGGTCATTATGAAATAATTTATCGTCGACCGGCTCAAATGCCGCGATCAAACAATGAATTTGAACGAAGTATGATAAGTTTTCACAGAGTAAATGATAATGAAGAAAAACGGCTTAGAGCACAATCGGCTAGACAGCCTGCGACACAATTACCAGTACCAGTAAAACGTCAAATTCATACAAGCGAAAGTGAAAATCGTCAATTATCATCGTTAGACAGTGTAGCTGGCATACAATTAAAAACAACATCAATTCATGAAAAAATAGTTAAACATGGTCGAACAACGCATACAGTGATCGTTGGATACGTTTCACCTTACACATCACCTCTAAGACGAGATCAATTAAATTTGAAAACATTGGAAGAAGTTGAACAAACCATAAAACAAATAAAAGATATTCAACAAAAAACTATTCCATTGAAATACTCGACAATTCAAACGTAAATGGTTTTCATTAATCAATATTTGCAATACACGCTTCACTTTTCTCCTATGGTGCAATTTTGATCCAACAAACAAACATTGTACTCAACTGTTCATTATTGACCTTCTTCCTGTACTTTATTTCGATCGTTGAACGCCAACAAACCTATTACACTTATTCCATAAAAGAAAAGTAATCATAATCTGCAACCAGTCTCCAATTTCAATCGTCCTCACTCTAAAGCGTTTGGTGCTTCGAATGTATCTAGCTACCCTTCGATTAGTATGATCAATCGAGCTTTCAATATTCTAGTTTCTGATTCATTTGCATGTATAATTTTCGTCTTTCAAATTTTGCTCATAGTACTCTTTATAATTAAACTGCCAATTTCCTGTTTTCTTTTTCTCAGTGTATGTACTTAAAATTATTTTTTTTCTATATGCTGGTGATACTGATATTTTATATATCCCTGTTATATGATGCTTATGTGTTTTAAATGTTGTATAAATATTTTTATACGTGTTAATACTATAACTTCGTCTATAATCTCATATAAAGCGACTGCATTTTCCTCTTTTATTGATTTATTTTTTATACTTTCTGAATTCTATAATACAGATTTATTAACATCTAATAAGATCTTAAGAGATATACTGCTGATCAAGATTGTCGACAATTTTTATCGTAGATTGGAGTTATTGAAATGTCATATTGAAGTCAAACATTGACCAGATTTAAAAAAATTTCTGAATGATATAACGCATTAGCCACAATCTTGATAGATTTCTGATATTAGCACAAGATTTTGATGAAATCTTGAATCATGTCTGTTTATCGTACCACAATAGTTCAAGTTCTAAAGCACTATAAAAATAGTATGAGAGCTGTAAACTCTGTAATACCGTAGAAACAGTACTGAAGCTGTGAAGCTTTATGAACGAACATGTATTCAAGTATTGTACGAACTTCAAATTTTTTCAATATTTCATATTGCGAACAATATTACTCATATATAAATGGAAGTAGCAAAGCAAAATTCTTAGAAAACACAAGGTGATTTAGCTAATTTCTAAAACATTTTGAACTCTTTTTAAAATCTGAATTAAGATAGGTCAAGCTACAACAGAACCAAGCTCTGAAACAAATCCTGTCAGGATTTTCATCACAACTTTTCGAACAAAATTGAGCAAAAAATCATTAAGGTCCCTTAAAATACAAGATAGTAATTTAAGATTTAATACAAAGATTCTGTAAAGGTATCGGTGAGTTTTCAGCTTTGTGTAAAACGTGTGATACGCACAAAAAATGTCCAGTTCACTGTGTTAATCTGCTCTGGGCTCACAATAAAGCTTTTAAAATCATATAAATTTATGATTACTTTTCGAAAATAAATTCTTTGCGATAAAAGTAGATCTTTTGCGCCTGCTCTACCTAGAATTCCGGAGGAAGGATGCAAAGAAAACTACTTATAAACGCCGGAAGTCATTTCATCAGTATTTTTAAGTTTAGCGTTTATTTTATTTTAATTTTTAGTAGTCTCTATTCATTACTTCATTTTTTTTGTTGTCTATTTATCGTTATTTTCTCTTAAATATTTTGCTTGAGTGATTGTTATTAAAAGCCAGTGACATTTAATAACTCCCACTTTTTGTGAATAAATTAGTCTTAATCTTAGTCATGCTTCATATCACTTTTAATCGTGTTCCTTGCAAACTGAAGTCAAAACGAAATATTCGATCAATACATTTCATTTCTAATGAAACACGAAGAATTAAGTCAATCTTAACTAAGATCCAACTAAGAAGTCCCTAGAGCTTAGGAACTCACTACTTAAGAATGTTGATAAAACTGTTCAAGATGTATTATATGTAGATGTCGCTGAAAATCGACTGCTGAAAAAAACAGATCACTACTTAACTTAGAAAAGCGTTTAGAATAAAAATATCTAGTCTGCTAAATTCGCTTTTGTGTTAGAAGCCAAAATCTTTATGATATCAACTATTTTTTAGGCTACCATGACCGGCGTTCGTTTGACCCCAAGCACTGAACGAATGCGTGACTTTGTTAATCTCCATCCAATATCATAATGGTGTTTTCCGTTGGAACCATTTGGACAACTGTCAATAATTTTCGCTAAGGTAAACGCAGCTAACTCAGTTTTACTGAAATATAATTGAATCTCCTATTTTTGATAGATGGCTAATGAGCCGACATTCATCCGTCAAGCATCTTTGGAAGCATCCCAGGTTGTACCGTTGTTCGATTCACCCTCAAGTACATTTCTATCAAATCCACCATTTAAACCAAAAGCGGGCGAAGTTTACGTTTTAAAATTAGATCCTGGACATGAAAGTAAGTAATGTTCTACGATCTGTTCCATTTTATACCTTTGACAATTAGGATGTAAAATATGGACATCGGATTTTTACCAAATGGTATACCGCGGAACAAATGTGAGAAAAAAATAAAATATTTGCGGGTTCTCGCGATCATTTATTAATTCTTGAACTCTTTTACTGACAACTGGATATTATTATAGTACTTCTATGATCAACTTGCATTACCCATTATCGCACAATCGACTTTTTATACGTTGAACAGAATCGGTCCAATTTTTTTTTTTGAATAACTTATTCAATGAATGTACGGGCAGCAAAGCATCTCTTTATTCAAATCACTTTTCGCATTTTGGCGCGTTTAAAATGGCGCCGCTATTTGCGTCATTCATTGAATAAGTTATTCAGAGAAAAAAATTGGACCGATTCTGTTGAACGTATAAAAAATCGATTGTGCAATAATGCTCTTTTACCACCAAGAAAACAGCGCTGCCAATTGTTTTCTCTCACAAAAAAACAATGTCTTGATAAGGAATTCTTGCTCTTGTAAAGATTTAATTGTGCTTATTACCGCGTTTTTTCGTTCATTTATAGATGATTGGCGAAGCGATGGCTATAGATGGGTACAAATAGCAGCAAGAAGATTGCCGACGCATAATCCTGTGATTAAAAAATGTTATTTTCATGCTGGACAAAAAGGCAAAAAGAAAAGCAAGGAATTTGAGAAGCAAGCATTTGTATATTTATTAGATCCATCAAAAGTTGTTGTTCAATATTTAGGTATGCATTTTTTTTCTTTATCATCCGTTTCCGTTTCTTGAGCTGTACATAGATCAGTTTTTACACAGAATTTCTTTCAAGTACACATGTAAAATTTGTTTAAGATTTCAATGATTCAGTTCTCTTAGTAAGTGATCTAATCTTTATTTCTCATAAGAGTTAATCAAAACTTCGTTGAAAAGTCGAATTTGAATGTAACTGCTTTATTTTAAAATGATTATTTTTTTAATCATATTTTAGGCGATGAAAATATTGCTGAAGAATTTCCACATGGTAATTCTAAGAAAAATACAAAACCATTTTTTCGTACTCGACCATCATTATTAAATAAATTGATTAATGAAGCAGCAAATGGCGAAACAGCTGCCATTTATCGTCAACTGACTGGTCAAACAAAAGAAAACGACGAGAATGATAATGAGGATAATTCTCCACCAGCTTCACCTAACAATGGCAATGATCGCGATTCGCCACCTCCTGCTGCTACAATCACCGAAGTATCAACATCTGTTTCTTCACCCAAGACAACAACAATCACAAAGAAAGCTGAACAACAAAAATCGGCCGTTGGTCCAGAAATATTATCGATGCCACGAAATATTGAACAAATCCGAAATGTTAAACGTCGTTTAGCCCGTCGTCTTGTTGCATCAGCCGATGAAATATCAGAACTATATCGTTTTGCTCGTGAAACACCTAATTTTATTGCACGTTTTACACTGATACCACATGTCATTGCCGTTGCTTTTTGTCAAGAATCTGTTAATGAATTTAATCAGTTATTAGATATTGAACCTCAGACCTCAAAATCACGAGTTCTAATTACATTCGATTCAAGTTTCAATATCAATAACTTTTATATAACATGTGTTTATTATCGGCATATTGCGTTTCACGAAGAACCATGTATTCTGTTAGGTACGTATAATATTTACTTGTTATTTGTCTCATCTCTATTCATTTGAAAGACATACTCCAGGATTTTTCATTGTTATTTAGGTTGTGCATTACATAATCGTAAAACAGATGATGTCTATGATTATTTGTTAACATATTTAAAACAAAATTGTGCAAAAATTGAAGAAAAATGTTTGTATGTAGTTGATTCAGAATCAAATTCTCTAACACAAGAATATTTATCAGAATATTTGAAAGATTTGAAACTTATTCATACATGGAATTATGTGTTTACCAATTTGCGATCATGGTTGTTAAATAATGGTCGAACACAAGCCGATTATCAATTTTATAATGCTGAATTAAAATCATTATTAATCTGCAATGATACACAAGCGTTCTATCGTCTATATGAACGATGCAAATCAAATTGGACACAAGAATTTAAGCAATATTTCGAAAAAATTATCTTACCATTAATTGAAACAGATTTAGGCTCATGGATATTGAAAAAATATGATATTTATGATCCATATTGTGGAATTCGAACAATGTCTTGTGATGCCATGAATATTGTTGTGAGTGGTGAAATTTTTATTTTTTTCTTAGATGTTTAACTCAAATCGTAGGTTAGTTTAAGACGAACGTTAAGACTTTTTATAACTACCATAACTCTTTTCATAAGTTGAATATCTAATTTAAATCGAACTTGAATTGAAACAATCAGATACGTTTTAGATTAAGATGAATTAAGCCGATACTTAGTTTTTTCTCAACTTCAGTTAGTTTCAAGATTTTTTTGTGAAATACATCGCAGTTTTGCTCCTTTGCTGGGTCACACGTTTCTTTAGAAAGGACGGCAGAATTGGCAGATATCATATCGCGCTTCTTGTATAATTTACCATCTAATATAAATCTGAATTTATTTTTTCTAATTCATATTGTCTGCATTTATTGTTTTTCTGTTCTAGGTAACACATTTACGTGATTGGCGTGATGCTCGATTTGATACTGGTGCAATTTCATTATATTGGTTACAAATTTATTTTGTTAATCAAATACATAAAAGTTTTTGTCGTAATGGTTTATTTAATTTAAAACAAACCTACGAAAAATTTTCACAACCGATTCGTAGTACAGAAGATGCAATAGCACAAGCAAAAATAATTACACCAGATAAAATTGTTGAACATGTTCGAGGAAAATTTATTTCAGTACCAGGTGCATCGTCAACAGTAACAGCATCATCAACATCAAAATATAATCAACAACAACATCAAGGACAGACACATATTTTGAAGCGGACATTAGATAATGCTCAAATATTAACATTAGCTGTACCACCAGAAGCAAAACATTTAAAAACAACATTTGTAGATCAAACAACGCCGTGTATTATAACAGGTGAAATGAGAATTTTATTACATCAACTTCAAACGAAAAGTACTTAGACGATAACAGTCATTTCCTACCAGAGACCGAAACGGATGGGGTTCGGGCCAACGTAAAAGATATTGATTCGGGTGTTTGGTTGACCCGTTTCGATCTAACTCAGATCAATATAAAATAGTCTGCCTGAATTACCCAAACTTTACCACTCATAAAAAGAAAAAATGATGAAAACCGTAAGGAATCTGACCATTATTTTTAAAAAATTTGAAAACAATCGACTAAGATAACTTTTCTATAGGAAAGAAGTGTTTCTTTGCGAATGTGTACGAAAACATTTTCATGTTTTGAGTCTAATTCGGATCACAGTTGCAAGCTTTTCGGGTCGGGGTCGGGCTCGGGCCAACGTATAAGATATTGATTTGAGTCGGGTTCGGGTCACGTTTGATTGACCCGTTTCGATCTCTGTTTCCTATGCAAAATTTCATTGGTGACTTTCTGCTGTCTGTGTTCGTTTTAACCAAAATTCTTCTTCTCCATAATGATTTACAAATAGTTTCAATTTTAGTCTTTAGACATGAATCCTTCTACCATAATACAATCTTAATTTCATATTCTACTTCATTTCTTTGTATTTTAGGTATACCAACGGGTGAGTTTAAACCTTTACTAGGTGGCAGTCGTACAATGACTGTTCGTCGTGTTCAAACCGTTCAACCGACAACACAATATCGTATTGCTACAGCAACTACAACAAATCAACAACAATCTCAGCCACAACAGTACCATTTAATAACAACACCCCACCAAGATGTTAATGAAAATTCAATTCTCTGTAATACAACTGATGGAAGTGGTGATTCATCATTAGATTTAAGTCAAATATTAAATGCATCGTCAGCAACTCAACCACAAACAATAGCAATTGCAAATAGTTCATTTTTAAGACCTATTTGTAGTTCAAATGTAGTACGACTAACTGTATTAAGAAAATAAATGTATGCTTTTTGTTTTGCTTGAATTTGTTTTTCCTTTCTGTGCACATATATGTATGTATATTTTTATATATAGAAAACATTAGCGAAAGATATTCTGTATAGATATTCTACTTTTTTTTTTAAAGATAAATTACATTATAAAAATGAAATTTAGAAAGACAAGATTTGAATAACTTTTGAATTCATATCTATATTTATAGGTTCAATTTTTTGTATGATTGTGTTGTTTTTCTAAGCGAACAGCTGTATTTTCGGTATTTAGCATCTGAGAATGTATTTAATATTTTACTTGCAGATCTTAGTAAACAACATGTATCATTCTTGCTTGTAAATCTCATTTGCATTAGAGATAGAAAGACAAATGCTTGAGCATTTTACTATCACTTTGAATATTGATGAACTACAGTACAATTGTCACCATATATCATTGATAAATGCGATTGTTTTAGAGAGAATTTTGCACGTTATGCATTATTATTATCGTGCATCTCATAAGGTGACAAGCAGAATTTAGAAAATATATGAAAAAAAAGGAGCAGAAAAGAAAAAGAATTTTTTTACAAATACTAATAGATTATAATTATAGTAGGGCATACGCGCTTTTGTTTACAAGACTAACATAATATATCGAAACATCTAACCTGGTACATGACCAAATATGTCTTCAATCGCGTCTTTAGTAGAAGATACTTTGATCTTGTATAAATTTTCTTTGTTCCTTATAGATTTCAATATTTTTATATTTGTCTGTGTATTTTTATAGAAAAGGAAAGAATGTTGACAAAACTAACATCAAAATATTTAATTATTCGTTTGAATTCTATTCGATTATTTTCAACCACTACGTCCCTTTTAACACAAGATCAAGCTAAGGGACACGACATTAAGAAAACAATCGAAGATCAAAAAGAAGGAAAACATCCATCACCACATAAAGAAGCTCCTGTGTGGAGTGAAAAGTTAGCCAGTAGAAGTGGTAATATTGTGGCTGGTTATGATATGAAAGACTAGTTGTATATGTTGAAAACTTAGATTTCTAGTTTCTTCGGAATATTCGTGCGAATAGTTTTCAAAATAAATTTTTTTTATTCGAATTTGATCGTTTTTTTATCATAAAATAATAATATATTGTCTTTTTCTTTTATGTTCTAGAAGAAATCGTTAAAGCCGACAAACTAGGTGGTGGTAAACCAACTGAACAGTTACAGAAAGACACAATCAGTCATGTTCAAAAAAAAGATAAAAATGAATCTACACGTCAAAAGAAATGAATAGTTGAATTTTTTACTTTGCATTTTTATTCATTGACATCTAGTCCAAATATTTGTCCAGATAAAACTCTTCGAACAAACCTAGTCCTTTTTTTTTCATCCAACAATTAAACTAATCTCATTTGTGTTTGTAGTTTGTTTTGTTTTTTGATAAATTTTTTTATTTTTTATTTTACTTTGTAGTAAAATATTTATATCAATCCGTTGACTTTTTGTTTAATAGTAAACCAACCAGAATATACTTGTTGTCTTATTCAAATATCACTGGTGAAAATGTGCAATGCATTCCTTCTTTACAAGAGATGATTACTTAATTTATTATTAGTTGTAATAGCTTAATCGTTAGTTTTTCTTTTTAGGTAAAAAATTAAAACGTATTTTATTTATTAAAGAATATTATACATGAAAAAAAAAAAGAAAAGAGAATACGATTAGTCAACAAAATAAAACTTGTGGAGTGAAAAAAAATAACAAAAGTTGTATTTCTGTGAATTATACAAAGCTGAAAGTGTTTATATATATGCGCGTGTGTGTGTGTGTGTAGGACGGATCAAATAATATAGACGAAAGATATTTTATTCTAAGAAAAGTATAATTTAAAACATTTCATTTTCTCTGTTTGCAGAAAACAAAAAGTCTACAAAAAAAAATACATACTCATCATAGTTCAAGAAAATCGTAAATTATATTTATGGAAAAGAGAGGAGGTATTATGCCAATATATATCACAGCCATTTATACGGAGAATAAACATGGTAAAAGCAACAAGGTTTTATATATTTATCAGTATTCAACATGTATCAAAACTATAATAAAAAATATAAAAAATGCTGATAAACAAATGTTAGATTTCTATTTATACCTATAAATTTGTTTTTAGATTTTGATGATTATTTCAAATGATTCATCGTCAAGTTATAGTATCGCTAACTGAAGGAGTTACTGATGGAAATTGTTTTTGAAGTATAGTTAAAACAGTTGAAATATCTTGGCTTAATTTTGTTTCTAATGAATTAAGTCGTCTGAAATAAAAAAAAAAAGAAGAAATTATGAAGGATATTTTTTTATAGATCTATGTAGCGCTTAAATTCTTACTTTGAAAGTTCTTGAATTCGATATTCGACACTACTATTGTAGGGATCATACATTTGTCCATATGGCATACTGTCTTGAGTTTTATAGTGATCGGATATTTGCATATTGTCAACCTGATTTTCATTGAAAACATATGTTGTCTTTAGAACAAGTAAATTTAGAATCAATCAGGTTTTCTTTTTTTAATATTTTAAACACTAACTTACCAATGGGATATATTCCTCCTTTGAATTTTCAATTTGAAGTTCTACATTTGGAAAAGTTCGTCCTGAACAAAAAAAAAAGATGTCTATACACCACCGTAGAAGATAATATTTGCAATATGTTTTACCTTGTAAATCATTGCCAGTAATCACTGAACTTGTACCAAGTGATTTATCGCGTCTGTATGTTTTGTCTTTACGTAGATTAAAATCTAAATTTGCCGGTGTTATATCCTGACCAGCTAATGTTGGATCAAATTCCAAAATGCCTACCACAAAAAAGAGATATGTTTCTTTAACTTAGTTGCATTGCATTTTCTAGTCCGAAAAATCGACAATGCAGTTTTATAGAATTCGATGTCTAATTTAATACTGTATTTCTGTTTTAAACGACAACAACTACTGTGATGAAATAGTGCATCGAATAATCATTATTTTGAAATTATCTTTTACAAAAAGGGATAGATAGAGGTTAAGTGTTTGATTTCAACTGTGTGATGTGATGGCAATTGGATTTTTCACTCTTAGAATATCTAATGTAGATGTTATTAACCCTTTACTCCCCTCCCTTGGTCACTGACCATTCGTAGTACGATTGTAAAAGATAAAGGAAGCATGAAATTCAAAAACTTTGGTAACATTTCTTTTAGTGAACTCCATAAGCTGTCGATTGATTAAAAGAATATTTTGTTTTGTTGCTCTACCTCCGAAAACAATGAGTTACAAAATCCGTAAGTTTGAAAAAAACCACGAAAGTTGAAATTTTTTAACAATTATTTTTCTACTAACAGGCAAGATACATCTTGGGGACGTATTGTGTGATAGTTTTACAAAAGCTAGATAGATAAGAGATGGTAAGCCATACAATGGTTACTCCAGTGATCATTGGGGGAGGGGGAACGACATGAAAAGTTTTTTTTTCTTACATGTTGTTTTTGCTATATATGTAATACTTATCGACAACTGCGCACAGTTGAGTAAATAATTGACATTATTTATAAATACAAGTGTTATTTGCCATTATTAGACATGAGTCGGACGATCCGGGGCGCGGGGTCAAAACGTTTTTTAGCAGGATCCGTACCAAGCCCGGACCGTCTCGCCCGTGTCTAGGCATGAATCTAACATGGATATGAGGACAGCGGCCGTTTTCGGTCTCTGTTGTGGCTTCGGTCCTTCCGAAAAAAACTTTTGGCTCCGGAACCGGGACTGAAACCGTCTCACCTATGTCTAATAATGACAAATAGCATTTGTATTTATAAATAATGTCAATTATTTACTTAACTATGCGTGGTTGTCAATAAGTATTACATATGTAGCAAAAACGACATGTTCGAAAAAATAACTTTTCATGTCGTTCCCCTCCAATGGTCACTGGAGTGACCAAATTGGTCGATCTGTCCATACCAATGGCATATTGGGGAGACTGATATTCTATTTGTGTGGTTATTTTATCAGTGGCTCTTCTGAAACTTCTATGGGGGTGTATAGACATCTTTTTTTTTTGTTCAGGACGAACTTTTCCAAATGTAGAACTTCAAATTGAAAATTCAAAGGAGGAATATATCCCATTGGTAAGTTAG